TTTGAAGCAAATCACAGAAATTTCTAAAAAATACGTGGTCAAGAGAAATTCTGAGTCAGTTATTGTAAAATCTATCAAAGTACTGAGCTAATATGGTGACCAATAGGTCACAAAAACTTTCTACTATAATCAGTACCATCAAGAAATGGAGAAGACAACCTGCAAAGTGTGAGAAAATATCTGAAAATCATCTGTTAAAAGAACTTGTATTCAGACTTATATAAGGAATTCCACAGTTCAACAATAAAAACACAAATCCAATTTAAAAATTGAGCAAATGAATATTTCCTCAAATCAAATATGCAAACGGCCAATAAACCCCTGAAAATATGCTCAATGTTATTAGTAGGGAAATCAAGACAAAAAATCAAACAATGAGATACTTCTTCATATGAACTAGGATGCCCATAATTTTTAAAAAGTTATATAAGCATTGGTGAGAATGTGTAGAAATTGAGACCTTAGTAAAGTGTTTAAAGGAATGTAAAATGGTACAGCTGCTTTACAAAACTGGCAGTTCCTTACAAGTTGAAAATAGTGTTTCATAGAAGAAGCAATTCCACTCCTAGGTATATACACACAAGAAATACATCCACATGAAACTTGTACATAAATGTTCATAGCAGCATTATTGATAGCAATCATAAAGTAGAAACAACTCAAATGTCCACCAACTGACGAGTGGACAGGTAAAAATGTTTTGCCACTGGAGTCAAGCTCACCAGAAGATAGTCCAGTGGAATTCTCAGAGAAGGGGAGAACTCTACTGAGAACAACAGTGTTCTTGACATCTGTGATGGAAAAGCATATCAGCACATGTCAGTATAAGCACAGAGACTTACCTAAGAAAGTAAGGGATACAGATTCAAGGGAGAATGCAGGCCATCTGGAGAGATGTGTTTTTGTGGTTTCTGGCTCTTCTTTAAAAGAAACATGCTGAGGGATGGGTATGGTGAGGTATGTAAAAATATCATCAGTTTGGTGATCTCAAAATGGTTTCTGGTGGTCTGCTTATTCTCAGGATCCTTCAGCTGACATAATTTCCATTATCTGATCAAGAAATAATGTTGGGTTTTTAAAAAAAATCTCATCTCTCTTTGCTTAATACATTTATTGGGCTAATGAACAGTATACAAGTTAATTATCATAAGTGAATGATTTTACGGTAGCTCGAATTTACATATTTCCCAGAAATTATGGAGTGACAGGCCTGGGAGAGAGAGTGGCTTGGAGAGTGATAGGCCTGGAAAAGTATGTGAAGCTTTAAATTAAAATATTTCCTTGGGCTGGGGATGTGGCTCAAGCGGTAGCTCGCTCACCTGGCATGCATGCGGCCGGGGTTCCATCCTCAGCACCACATAACATATAAACAGAGATGTTGTGTCTGCCGAAAACCAAAAAATAAATATTAAAATTCTCTCTCTCTCTCTCTCTCTCTCTCTCTCATTTTTTTTATTTATTTATTTTTTAAACTCAGCAAGGATTTATCAAAAAAAAAAAAAAATCCCAGGCTATCTTGTTCCAAACCCTGTGTATTTCCCCACCCCCTTATACCACCAGTATCAAGCCAGGCAGATCTTTAGTTATTTAATAACTGTGATTAAATTGTTGAACTATAATCAATGGATGCAATTTAAAAACAAAATTATTGTGTTCACATTCCCACCACTGTGCTAAAGGGAAAGCTAAGAAAAAGAACCTTGTATTCTGGTCAGGGAAGAGGATTCCCAATCAGGCAGCAACTAGAAACAAGGCGACCAGTGATGAAAGCAGAGAACCGCAGCTTCATTTCCAAGTGCAGACCAGGCTTCCTGGCAGAGTTGGTGAGAGGCCAGGGAGGGTTGATCAGCTGGAGAAGTAACTTTATGAGTTCTTTTTTCTCCTGCTAAATCTGAGGTTTCCAGTCGAGGCATAGGGGGTGAGAACAGATCCCCGTAAAGGTCCTTCCAGCTCTAAGTTCCATGATGGTCCTAAAGAATACCTTTGCTTAAGCAAAGGCCCTGGGGCTGGAGGGAGTCTCAGTGAGTTCCTTTGTTCAGTAGTCTTGTCTGCTTAGAGCAGCGAATGCCTGCCAGAGGATGAGAGAACAAAGGCTAAAACTGGAAACGCTGAAGAGATTGAACTTGCTGCTCCAGGCAGTGGGAGCCATAGTCTATCCTGGAGAAAGGGAGGAGTAATGTGATGAAGCCAAATTGTTGAGGACAGAATGAAGAGGGGATAGAAACCGGCTCACCAGTCATGTTGAATATTTTCTGTTAGCCTTTTTGCCCTGCATCCTCGGCTCTGCACTGTGCCAAAACCATTTAGGACTGCATCAAGGGAGCTCCTTGCTAAACGGAGGTGCAGCAGGAGATCAGAGGGCAGGGAAAGAGTGAGATGGGACATTCCCTATTCCCCTTGCCTCTTCCCCTCCTGTGTGGCTGCGTTTGCATTCTCTGGGAAGCCTGGCCTCACCAGGTTCCTGCACCCAGTTCTCTGCCATTGCCTCTCCAGGCCTAGATGGTCCTGGGATATCCTGAATTTAATGTTGCCAAGAGAGAAAGGTAGAGGATGCCCAGTTAAATTTGTATTCCAGATAAATAATGAATGATTTTCTAGTTTAAGTATATTCCAAATATCATGGCTTTAAGTATACCTGTAAATAGTTATGCTAAAAATTATTCATTGTTCATTGGAAATACATAGGTAACTTGGCATCCCTTATTTTTATGATTTTTATGTGCCAGCTGTGAAAACCCTGCCTCAATCCCATGAAGCCAGCCTATGGTCTCTAACTGTCCCCTCATTAAACATTTTCAGAAGAGCCTTTGACAGGTCTTCCATTTCATACCATTTCTGATCCATGCACAATGAGATTTCTGATTCCCACTGAGGTTCTAGGGGTTGAAGTAGCCTGTCCTTCTGAGGGTGAACCTTGGCCAGGACCTCTACTCTGGTGCCCAGTCTGTCAGCATTTACTGCTTTCTCCAAAGCATAGGCCCAGAGGCCCCAGGGGAGCTCTCTCTCTCTCTCAAAAAAAAAAAAAAAAAAAAAAAACTATATTTCCTTGTTTTTCCTTTATGTGGCCTTTCTAGCTACTTCTTTATTTCTTCTGTTCTACCTCAGTTTTGTTTTATGCAATGGAATTTATTCCACCATAAAAAGGAAGAAAGTATTGACACATGCTGAAACGTGGATGAACCTTGAAAAACATTATCCTTAATGAAAGATGCCAGAAACAAAATGTCATTTATTATGTGATACCATTTACATAAAATGTCCAGAATAGGCAAATCCATAGGGATAGAAAGTAGGTAAGTGGTTGCTTAGGGAGTATGTGTGTAGGGTGGGGGTGGGGGGACAGAGTTGTTGCTTTGGGGTGATGAAATGTTCTCAAGTTCCTTGTCATGATGGTTGTACAACTCTATGAATACTATGAATATGCTGAATCATGCACTTTAAATATACAATTATTAGTCATTACAGAAATGTAATCAGATGCAAATCATCAGTTTATCTCAATAAATCTATTTTTAAGTTAAAAATTTAAGTGAAACTTTAATTTTTATTATTTTACTTATTTTTATTGGTGCATAATTAAAAGTAGAATTCATTATGATATTTGCTCATGAACATATTTTAATCTCATTCCTTTACTTCCCCTTCCCTTTCCTCCTCCCTTCCCCTGATCTGCTTACTCTATCTAATCTACCCATCTCTCTTCTATTATTCTTTTAATTCGTGTATTATATTTACATATAAAAGCAAGATTCATTTTGTTGATTTATGCATGGACCTGGCATAATTTGGAAGATTTCTTCCCTAGTACTTTCTAATACCCCCTCCTCCTCCCAATCGCTTTCCTCTAATCTATTGATCTGTTCTATAAAATTTTAAAACTTTAACGTAATGACTTCAAAATTGATGTCATTAAAACGTAGTGTTTTCTTAAGTATAGAAATCTTTTCTGATGGACCTGGGGAAAATCTAGAGAATACGAAGGCCTGATTGAGGATAAATAAAAATAATTGTAACTCAAGTCTAGAAGGATTTAAAAATATTAAAGTCTGCAGGGTTGGTTGAAGACAGCCTCCATTCGGGTTCCAGGTCAGCGCTGTAAGTTCAATTTTACCGCTGGCAGCTTCAGTTGTATTATGAGTTGCATTAGCCGAACTCCATAAAGCCAGGTTGCTCATCCAGGTTAGTCAGAGTCCCAAGGTGCTCTTCCTGCATTAGCCTGGCTTCAGAAAACAAGGAGTTTCAGGCGGGTTAGGAAGGCAGTGGGAGAGAGAGCCGAGTTGGGGAGTCTTTCGAGTTTGAAGGAGAAGGGGAGAGAAAACTTGAAGCTTCATCTAAATATCCTTGTGCAACAACACTCCGTTTTATGGAGTAATAACGATACCCTTTCTAAGATTAAAAAGAAAATATATCCAACTTATTTGGAAATTCGTGCCCCACACCAGCAAATGCTTCCCATCGCTGTGGTCTTCCCTAGGATAGCACTATCCGCCAGGGACACGGCCACAGCCACAACCACAGCCACGGGCAGGCGAAACTGCGCAGGCGCGGCGCTCCCCGGGCCTTCCGCCTCAGCCTTGCTGGTGCGCCCAGGAGCTAGGAGCTCGTGGTTCTCCGAATCCGCCTGCCACGCGGGCGATTGTAGGCTGGTTGCC